AACCACTGGTCCGAGGTTCTGTTTTGTCCAGCTTCAGTTCGCGTCACGTGCGGTAAAACGTGAATTATTTGCGTTGGAGTGATTCAAGGGCAAAGGGCAAAGCACAACGCTCCGTAATTTTGCAATTAAAATATTTAATACTCCATTACGCCGTCAACGGCCATGAAAAGATTCTGCTTATTTTGATATTCGCAGCATTACTGCAAATACCAAAAGCCTTAAATGCAATAAATAAAAATAACCCCGTGTGGAGGAACATACTGCCCCTATCTTCTGGGCGGAAGAAGGAGGTAGCATGTTTCTCGAAACGTCAATTACCTACCTAAACGTCCACACAACATCACAACCCATAAGGCTACATAAACTCAAAGGCATCTGAGAATCTCAGCTATTCCGATCTCTCGTCTAAAAATGTCAACGAATGGGTGTGAAACTTGGTCTCTCAACACAAGGCAGGCGAAGTAATGAAAGAAATGACCACTTGGGAGACCTAAGCGTAGATGGAAGGATAATAGTAAAAAGGATATCATAAAAAATGTATGGCGGACAGCTGGATTCATCTGGCAGGCCGTGGCTCGTCCGATAAGAGGCAGAGGATTTGTCGACCAGCTGAGCGAGTATCAGCTTCGCAAATGCATTCCTCGGTAGAGTTGTTGTTGTTGTCAAAGAATGCGAATGAAATTTATGCGACGCCCATCGTCGCTTCCTGCAGCTGCGTCGGTGGATTTTAAGCTGTAAAGTTTATTTACGGAATGGGTTGAAGAACTTTTGTGATTCGAGACGCGTCGCATCAGAAGCCACCACGGCCATAAATCTACCAGTCGGCAGACTTCAAATCCCTGTCATAAACACGACTAATTCGTAGCGCGAGTTACGACATTACGAGGATTTATCCGTATCATATTTCACGATAAAATATATGCCTGAGTCTGGGTTTATGACCCAAAAATGGCGGTCAATGAATCGATTAAATATCCAGTTGTAAAAACATAACAAGAAAGCACGTAGAAATCTGTTTGGGTTTATTATTATTTAGTGTTCTGTCTGACGACAGGTCCATATGAACAGAATCCTTCCATCCTTTTCTCGGACTGGGACCTGTTCATATACGTTCTTGGCAGATGATCCAGAAGTGGTTTGCCATTGCCTTCTTCTGTGTGTGAATGGAGAAACCGGGGAAGCCCCCGGAGGAAAACCCCGTGTTGCCTAGACCACGATCTTGCCCAACACAAGTTATAAATTCCAACCCGAGACCCCAGGATTACAAGGCCAGCGTTCTAACCGCTAGACCACCTCATCTTATTATTATTTAGTGTTCTGTCTGAGGACAGGTCCATATGAACAGGATCCTTCCATCCTTTCCTCGGACTGGGACCTGTTCATATACGTCCTTGGCAGATGA